AAAATACTCCAATCTTATGTTAAAACACTGGGGAGTTTTTCTCTTTTCTTTTCATACTTTCCTTTAAGATCTGCATGTAATCCAAGTGTAAATTACTATAACGTGAGTGATTGCCATCAAAGGGTACAAAGTTGGAAGTGGGTGGGGAACTGAAAGCCCTATTTTGTTCTTTGTTCTCAATTGGACTGTAAACCTGTTATATGACCTTATGGAGATCACATTAATCCTGACTTTCTGAAGAATTTGCACTCCTGAACTGACTTTATGTTCATTAGTCACAATTTCCTGTAAGGTGAGAATACTGCCTTAATATGGGGCAGAAGAGAGTTCATCAATATAATGTGCTATGAAATTCCGCAGTTGAAAGTATTACAGGCTGTGGAGAGTGTATTATACTCATTTATAATGTTAGTAATAAGTAATAATAATATAGGTATGTTTACCCTATGATATTGAACTTCACCCTGAAGCAAGGTAAATAATTAGCAATTTAGATTTTTTTTTTAACCATAGATTGCAGGAATTAAAGGTCTTTAGAACATTTCTGCTATATTAAAATGATTTTTCAGCCAGTGCATTTGCTGCTTTAGTTTTTAAAAAAGTAAACCAAACAAAATCCCAAGTTGCTATTCACTTAAACAGTTATCTCCATGGTGCGAATTTCTTTCTGAACTTCACATCTGCTTAAGTATCATATCTGTTGATGTTCCCTGTGTTACTAAGCAACACAAAAACTGCCAAATAAACATGTAGTATGGTACCATAACTCCAATAATGCGTCGTGGAGTTAATTTTTTGGTTATGTTCCATATGGCTAATAGGAATATTTTGAAATTCCAAGTACACAGTACTCCAATGTAAAATATATTGGTTTCATTATAAAAAGCAGTTCATATCTTCTAAAAATGTGCATTTAATTGCATGAAGACAGAAAAGCAGCACAAAAATTATTCAAATAACCTTCCAATTATATTTGATAAATCATGTTTAAATCCTTTTTACATTTATGTAGCAATTATAACCTAACCACAGGATCTAACATCTTAGAGCTTCATCAAATCAATCAAATCTCTTAGGCTGAAGCTGGAATGTTGTTCTGATGGAATTGCTCCCAAAGGCAATTTTGATCTATTTAGGCATCAGCTTTGCAGCGCATTCTGAATTAAGATTTTCTTCTGGTAGTATTTCCTAGGTAAAGTTTTTTTTTTTTTCTAGCAGTAAGTCTAGGAAATTTCCACTATATAAAACTAATGAATTGAAAACTTGTTAAAATAATGATTGTTTTCAAAAATGCTACAAATACTTGGTGTATAGGAAACATGGCGTCTCCTGTTACTTGGTTTCCAAATGTGTTATTATAGAGAAGTGCTGATTTTTAGATGGTCATTTAAACAGTCATTCACTGTTATTATATGTAAACCTGAAAATATTTGGAAGACAAATTTTTCCCTAATTCCAAGTATAATTTTTTTATTCAGCTTTCAGGCTTCTCTGAATCACAGTATTTATGTGTGATTCTTAGCTGAGTGAAGCCATATAAGCAAAGTTTGTGACATTTATTTCACTGAATTTTTATTTTACTAAAAAAAAATCAGTAAGTTTGAATGTTTTTCATCAATCACTGTGAATCATCAACATAAGATGAACTCACCCCTGTCCATTCTACTGCAGAGATCCAAAACTCAGATCCTTTTCTATTATCCTAGTCAGTCTCAAGAATATTTCTTATCTATAATTCTAAAAACATTTTAATCTGATTAGTCAGAGATGCCTAACATGTCTGTTAAGAATCAGTTTTTAAAACTGAATGGGATAGTTCTGGAAATTAAATTAAATTATTTAAATTAGTTTACTACTTCATGGTAGTTGCAAGGCAGTTCTTTCTTGCCCAATATTCAGATTGATCTTGCCTTTATCAAATAATATGAGGTAAATATTAGAACAAAAAAGGTAAATTGAAAAACAGGGATTTACAACCATAATTCCTCAATCTTCTTCAAATAATTTTAATTTTAGAATGAAGATTAGAATGTAAATTAATGCTAAAGTTTTGGAAAAGGTTAAAATATTATCTGTTCCCAGCTCCCCTCCTTACTGCTTACTAAGATTACAGAATTGCAGCAATATTGCTGTATATTCTTTCCAGCTAAGAGAGGAAGTGCTTCTAAGAGCAACTGATGTGTTGCTTTGTCCTTGCTGTAAATAGGAAGTCCAAGAAGGTTGTCAATCAATAAATTCTGAATTTGCCAAAAAGCTTGGCATTAACGAAGCAAAGTCACTGCTTGCAAACATGCTTGGAATTTGAAGGCCAATATTTTTTGAGTCACCTAGGGTGTGATGCCTTAAACAACATGTGCAGTGTTGTACACTCCTTAAGAGCTTCTCAAAATCAACAGACACTAACTGTCATTTATAGCAGAATGCATTTTGATTCTTCAGCATGTTTACTATTTCCCAAACTTCCCATCCAAAAAAAAGCAGTAATTCTTAAAACAAAATGGATTTGGTATAAATGTACCTGTTCTTCCATCTGGTGATTTCCACAGAAATATTTGCATCCCCTGTTCTTTAAACAGAACTTCTACCTGGAGTTCTTAGTTAAAAGCCTATTACCTTTGAAATCAATTCTTCTTTCATGTTGGTAAATTCTTCTTTCATGTTGGTAAAAAATCGTATTTTTTTCCTGTTTCTGGTTTAAAAACTCAGTTTAGATCTGGACTTTTCCAGTATTTAGTAAGTGTATGCTCATCCACTTTACCTAGTTGAAGTAATATTTTTTTTCAAATAGCCATGCTTAGGTCTTCCTTGGACATAGTAGGGAATGCTCTGCAAAGATTCACTCACTAAAGGTCACAGTTCACTTTTAAAAAGTCAATTTTAAAATTAAGTGTTAATACTTGCTATCTGTGAGTTTAGAAGTCAATCAAGACTCCAAAAGGTCATTCCATAGTTATCAAGGATGCTGGAGTATGTTTTAATGGGAAGATTTAGAAAATAGATTCAGGGAATCTTGCTTAGATTGTTATTATCAAAAATGTTTTTGTTACTTTTTACTGTAAAATAAGCCTCAAAGGAAAAAACTTTTGAATAGCAACACTAAGTGCTCCTCGGAGCCATGACAAATGGGAATTGGCTGTGTTCTCTAAGGTTTTTTCTAAGAGGCAAAGTATTGTGACCAGTGTATTCAGAAAAAGAAAGAGACTGACAGTGGGAACAAAGAAGGAGCTAAGGCTTTAGTATTTCTGAGATGGCTTTAAAATACGAGCCATCATACAAATAGCATCCAAAATCAGTTGGTTTAAAATAACTACTGCTTCACTGAATGAAAGTTTGTTTCCACACTAAAACCAAAACAAATTAAGGAAATAGATGTATCATGCAAACCTCACAACTGTATTTTTATAAACTGTATATTTGATAAGAAATGGGAAAATTCCAAGAATCCTCTCAAATAAGTTTCCTTTGTAAGATTTTTTTTCAGGCATGGGAACAGGCATTCCAAGAATAGTGTCTCTAGTACAAGTATTGCACTGATTTGAACTTTTTTTCTTTTATCAGCATTGTTGTGATGGCTAGCAATACATTTCAAACAGCATTACAATATCAAAATATTATAATATACAAATTTAAAAATTGGGCCCAGAAAAACCTGATGAGATTCAATAAGGTTAACTGCAGGCTAGTGCACTTGGGTTAGGACAATCCAGATATGAGTACAGAGTGGAAGAACTTCTTGAGAAGTAGCCTTGCAGAAGAGAACTTTGGGGTTCTTGTGGATGAAAAGCTGGGTGTGATGTGCTTGCAGCCAAGAAGGCCAACAGCATCCTGGACTGCACCAAAACAGGGACAACAGCAGGATGAAGGGGATCATCATCCCCTCTGCCCTCATGAAGTCCAATCTGGAGTCCTGTGTCCAGGCCTGGGGCTCTGAGCACAAGAAAGTCATGGAGCTGTTGGAGTAGATCCAGAGGAGGGTCACAGAGATGATCCGAGAGCTGGAGTGCTTCTCCTAAAGGTTGTGAAAGTTGGGCTTGTTTAGCCTGGAGAAGAGAGAGCTCTGTAGGGATCTCATTGCAGCTTTCCAGTTCTTAAAAGAAACTCAATAATCAGAAGGAGGACTGAATTTTTACATGGTCTGATAGCGGTTTGAAAAGGGTGAACAGTTTTAAAATAACAAGGGGAGTTTTAGATTAGATGTTAGAAGCAAATTGTTCATTCAAAAGCATTGGAGCAGGCTGCCCAGAGAAGCTGTGGATGCCCCATTTAGATGGAATCCTGGGCAGCCTGTTCTAGTGGGTGACAACCTTGCTCACATCAGGGGTTTTGGAACTGAAAACGATCTTTAAGGTCCCCTCCAACCTAAGCCATTTTGTGATTGATTCTGTGAATATATACAAAATCTTCCCAAGAGATTCCAAAGACTAGCAACACAGTTCCAGTGACATTTCACTTATGTGTGCATGTGTACCCACTTTAAAATGACAGAATAATAACTGGATGAAGAAAAAAGAGGTCATCCAACTTCAACCAGACTTACTTCCCTACAACATTTTTAATTTGGAAAGAATCTAGGCATTTCTTTTACAGCAGAGATTCAGAAGAACTGCAGAATTATACTGAAAGACCTGTTTTTACCAAGGTTTTCCTAACACCTGAATGGCTACACTCCGTAGCACTTTGCTAGCACTAGCTGCAAAGAAATCACCCTGTCACATCAATTTTACTTTTTTTTTCCCCACGCTAATTCAACAAAGGCACAGCACTCCTGCTTTGCAACGCCATTATTCATCTGCTTTTCCTCATCATCACCATCCTCATTTTCTTTCTTCTTTTTCATCCTTCTCATCATCTTCTGAGGAAAAAAAAAGCTAGCTAAAACAGGTAACTGTAACAAATAGATACATTTTCTATTGTGATTGGATTTGTTAATTGAATGGAAAATTGAATTTCCAATTTGTGATGGATTTAGAAATATTTATTTGACTTATTTTATTTTGCAGATGCTTCAGAAAATTGCTGTTTGTTTACCGCTGGTTCTGCCAACCAACTCAAGAAGGGACCGATCTATTCTTTCATTAATCAAACGCAGTATTATCTTGAACTAATTATTCTTCTCCACATGGCCTTTCTTCTGGTGTCAGCTTATTTTCTGCTGACTCATACTCAGGGTGCTCCTGTAGAGAATGGGGCACTGTTAGAAACACTGAAGTCACAGGTAGGATTATTCAGCAATAAAAGTGAACACTATTCAGCACAGGTGAGACCTCCTGGCACAAGCCGACGAATACCTCAGACAATTATTATTGGAGTTCGTAAAGGAGGGACAAGGGCTTTGCTGGAAATGTTGGATATTCATCCTAATATTGTTGTAGCAGCTACAGAAGTCCACTTTTTTGACTGGGATGAAAATTATGTGAAAGGAATAGACTGGTATAGGAGTTTGATGCCATTTTCGTATGGAAATCAAATTACTATTGAGAAAACACCAGGCTATTTTACATCACCACAGGCTCCAGAAAGAATTCATGACATGAATAGCTCCATTAAGCTGCTGCTCATTCTGAGAGATCCCACTGAGAGAGTTATATCTGACTATACCCAAGTATATTACAACAGAGTAGAAAGTCACAAGCCTGTTCAGCTTTTTGAAGATATTGTTATTAAGAATGGAGCACTTAATACCAAATACAAAGCTATTCAGAGAAGTTTATATGATGTTCATATGGAGAAGTGGCTTAAACATTTCAGTTTGGATCAGATTCATATAGTGGATGGCAATACTTTAATCAAGGACCCTCTTCCTGAATTACAAAAGGTTGAGAGATTTCTGAATCTTCCTTCCCGAATTGTGTCTTCTAATTTTTATTTTAACCAAACTAAGGGATTCTATTGCATTCGAAGTGATGGAAGAGAAAGATGTTTACATGAATCCAAAGGGCGACCCCATCCTCTTGTTAACAACACTGTTTTAGAACAACTTTATTCTTACTTCAGAGAGCACAATGCAAAATTTTACAGAATGGTTAATCATTCTTTTGACTGGCATTAATGCATTTGCAATCAATGCTTCTTTAAAAGGGCCTGAAAATGAACTCTTTCAAGCATATCTTTGTAACATGTAGAGATTCATATTATGAGAACTTAACATACTGGCTATATAGAAGCAGTGATGTTTGCTTCACTGGAACAAGACATCTGTCAACTCATTAAAATGTTGGGAAAAATGTTTCACGTATTTGTATGGTTACTCTGGATCATATTCTACTCTTCTTTTTCCCATCGTGCAAATCATTCCCATCAGAATCTCAATGGACTTAATTCACATATGATGTTTTGGAAAAATGACTGCTTTTAACAATGTAAAAATGTACATATTTGAAACTGTATTGTTCTAACTGTTCTGTATTTTTTTTTTTGTTCTTGGTATTTTTTTATATCAAGTATGAGGATAGTGACATTGATTTCTAGAATTTTTCCTACAATAGGTTAAATTATATGTTAAACAGGGGCGTAAGTAGTGGCTCCAGTAAATAATTCATCCTATGCTAATATGTTAAAATTTTCATACAATTAATAATAATAGGAATCTATTTCACCTTTGATTTTGAATAGGTGAACTAGAAGATCCTTGTCTGTATATCATTAGTATTAAATCACAGTCTTAGTATCTTGGGTCTGAAAAAAATAATCTCCAAATAATAAAGTAAGAATATGAACTGTCTGAAGAAGTTTAGGAAATGAGAGATCTGAATGTAAAGAAGTTAAAACATCCCAGGCAACCTCAGTTTACACCATTATTCTGTATAGTAAAATGCAAAAAAAATTGTTAATATCAGCACCTGTACAAATGTTTGATAATATAAATTATTTGACTTTGAATTTGAATGAAAAAGATAACTCTTTATCAGTACTACCATATTAATTATATTTGTATTCTGTGACTAAGTTATTCTATTTCTCTCCCAACTTTCCTTTAAGTATCTCCATTGCAATAGTGATTCTTTTGAATAAGAAAAACACGTTTCTTTGCCTGCCCTTCAAAGCATGGAGTATTCTTTGTAATTTCTAATGCAGGTCATGGGAGGTACTCAGACTTAAAAGTAACATCTTTTTATACTTGTATATCTCAAATATACTATGGATGACGTACTCAGATTATGTATAAAAGTGACATCCTGCATAAGGAACTTTTCTTTTTGATATCTTTTGCCTGACAATATTGTCTGCTCTTCTTTTGCATATATCAGTACCAAAGAAGAAAGTCAACTTGAAATGTTGAATGCTAAATAGAGCTATACAAATGCAAGCACATGTGCTTGTTTGAAATTGTACCTTGCAATCCAAAAATCCTGGTGAGCTGTAATTGCGTGGGCACACTCTAAGCATCAGGCTCCACTTAAACCTGTTGAACGTACTGAATATCTGTATTTTTCTGTTCAAGCAACTATTCAGGCTACAGGATACGTTCCCAATATGGAATTCAGTCATCTTTTTCATGAGTTTGAAGGTATGTATTGCAGCACTAATTTTGGGTTTTTAAATCGCTTTACTAAAGTGCTACTTAGATGTTAGGAAGATAGCATTCTTCTTCCACTGAATCTGATCAGAATCAGACCCACTATAGATTAGTTGGAAAGAGCTGTCGTCATACTCCTTCAAGAATTGTAAAATATTAAAAATAGGATAACAAATCTTGTTTTTCTACTACCTGTGAACGTATATCTAAGATGGGAAAATTATGCTAGTTTTTCATTAGCCTATAATTAACCTCTAAAATTTTCTTTCTAAAATATGATTACTTTGCTCAAAACTATTATTTTTTTCTTCCGTCTTTTCTGAGGTTGTGGCTTCTTAATCATTAATATTGTTATGGTCTGGGCACTACTCAGAAATACAAAGTTGATGTGCATCAGGTATGGAAATATAAATGCATTTCTTTCAAATTCACCAATATCCAAGATTATAGGTTTTTGGGGTGGGTTTTTTTTTGTTTTTTTTTTTTTCAGTATTGTTTTCCATTTCTTATACATTCCAAAACTTGTCATATATTTCATTTGCTGCTTTTCCACAATTACTCTTTTTAATAGTGTTCTTGTTTTCATTTGCTTCTTTTCCATGATAATTTTTAATAGTGTTGTTTTCTTTTTTCCTATTTTTTTTCATATTTTATTTTTTTTGCAATGAATTTAATCTCAAAACACTGTAGAGTTTAACAAAGGCTTTAGGAAGCTGTCAGTAATGAGACTTCATATGTCTATGCATCACTTTCAATTTCACGGGTTAATGTCTTTCTATATTTATGTTAGCAGGCATCAAGACAACGACTTCTTTGAAGTTTACTTTGAGTTGAATGCAGAAGTACCACTTGGCAAAAGTTGTATACATCTTTGAAAATTCAGGTCTCTTTCTAGACTTCGCATTTCAAGGAGTGCTGTTCAGTATAGATTAGTAATATGTATGTTTTCTTGATTTGTTAGCACTCTTCATTCCTAATAAACATTTTTGGAAGGATAGAGGTGTTGGAGTAAACTCGATATTTTCAAGTTTACTAATGCCAGAAGAAATGGCTCTTTTGTTCTGGTTTTACATTAAAAAAAAGATTCTCATCTGAAGTTTCTAGGTAAGTGGTCTACAAAGATGCAAATTAACCTGCACAAAAGAATTAAGTGAATACAGCACAACGTGATTTAGAATTGCAAATTGCTTCAATCGTGGTTTTCCATCTTATGATCTGAAAGATACATCACGTGCAATTCTAGCCTTCTTGGTTGAGGTATACTTGATGATGAAAAGCCAAAATTATTTTTTCTCCTCAAAAAGTATGCAATTTTGGGTGTGTGGAAATCAAAGCAGGTTGAATTTTCTGCAGAACCATAACTGATGAAATTATTAACAAAATAGTTCTCAATTTAATAAATGACAAGTATATTTTAAGAATTCCAATAATTTCTGTAAACTGTTCTTCATCGAGGTGGTCATCAAGGGACTCTTTTGTCTTATTATCTGATACTTAGGAGGCTTCAAGAGCAGTACCTTTCGTATAGGGAGATTGCTTAAAGAGAGCATGTGGCTGTCTCAAAAGTTGTTGAGAGCATCTGAAATACGATGTAGTCACATGTAACAACATTGCAGAATTTAGGATGATTTGAGTGGTCTTTGAGATTGTTTTACATTGCAGAGATATCAAGCTTTCATGTTAAATGTTCTTTTTTTTATACAATAATTAGTGTTGCTTTTATTTACTATGACTGAGAACAGGCAATTTCAAGCAACTGCAACCATAACTGAATCAGTTGAGACTGCCACAATAAGAAGCACTCCCGAACTTGTTAACTATATGAGTCTAATCTTAGTAATTTTTTAAATGTAGGCTATATATATTACAAATTCTCTATCAACAGGAAACTGAGTAAGTTGAGACTTTCTTTTTTTCACAAAAAAAAAATTATCCTAGTAGTACTTAAGTGATATAAAGGAAATAAAGAGCTTCTTCCAGAACCATTTTACCAGGAAGTCTGCTGAGTCTTTTTGTTGTGTCCTGTCCATCTAGCTGCTCAAGGCCCCTGTGCTGAGAGTCATCTTTCACTGCATAGCCTTAACAGAAAATTTACAGTCCTTCTTTAAGACCTTCTTGTCTAACTTTTTTTTTAATATTCATGGCAATATTTTGGAGAACTTTATGGAAGGCATAGACTATGTACTCATCATTGTATGCTGCTACACAAAAGTAACTCCTTCAGTATCCTTTAGGTGTAGTCATAATCCTATAAAATACACTGAACAAAGATTAGAGTGTCTGCTGTAGGGAAGTACATCTGCACAGTTTTATGCACGTTTCAAGGAACTCTGAAAAAGAAAAATAAAAATAAGCAACTCAACTACTAGCTGCCTTTGTCAATTTAGATGTTTTCAACTGTTAAACAAAAATTGAAAATTATAAGTTTTTCCTAGTTCACATTGATCAGAAATTGTCACTGTTCTCAAAAATAGGGTTAATTATGAAGTATTAAATGCGATTGTTCAATTTATTGGTATAAACAACTTTGTAGAAATATTCCAGCCTTGGTTAAAACGTCTGCTTCTCTTGGGACTGCATCTCACCATGGTGTGTAACAATAGGATGAGGAGTAATGAACTAAGATGCGTACATAGGAAGTTCTATATTAATATGTGGAAGAACTATACTGTAAGGCCAATAGAGCACTGGAACAGGCTGCCCAGAGGGGAGTCTCATTCTATGGATATATGCAAGACCCATCTGGATGCTTACCTGTGCAACCTGTTACAAGGTACCTGCTTTAGAGAGGGAGTTGATTGCCATGATCTCTTAAGGTCCCTTCAAACCCCCATGATTCTGTGATTATCATAATTCCTGTCATTTCTTGTTTGATCAATGTGGTCAAAAACAGAACTGTTGGATTTTTACTTCTTTAAAAAGTAATTTAAAAGCATAGTTAAAGAATAAAGAGATCTTAATTTACAGTCAGAGTTGTATGATAACCATCACAATAACTTTTCCTTGAAGAGAAAAGAATATTTAATTTGTTCAAGTAAAGATTTTCTCCTGTAGATTATTATTTTCTGTGCTTGTGGGTTTGATCTTTCATTTCCTTTTAAATGTCTGAATTTTATTATAGAAATGAATAGATGCATTGGAATTAAATTCAATAATAATTTGCCAAGCACATCATTAATCACTAGCAGCAGTTAACAACTGGTATTTAGTTACTGGACAAATAGTTTCTACTTTGGTTATTCCAAGCTTTAATTTGACTTACCATTTTTTTTAATATATTTTAAAAGACAATTTGAAATTTTACTATACCAATGAATGAGACTTTTTAGTATCATTCTGTGATCATAGAGGAATTGTCTTTTTTTTTTTTTTTTTAATTTACTTAACAGATATGAGCTTATTAGAATTCCTGAAAAAAATATTGGAAATAATGGTACTCATGAAATGAAAGTATAAAATAGTACCTTAAAGTTGAAACTGCTAGTTGAAAATACAGAAGACTTTTTAAAAGGCTGATATGAATCGCACATTCATGGTAAAATAGATGTTAGCACTATGTACATATGTAATACATTTCTTG